CCTCTTTCTTTCCTCTTCGCTTTCCTTCTCCGTTCAACTAATGCGCCAGAAGATGCGAAAGATGCCTCTGAACCTTCGCAGCGGAGAATGTCCGGTAGACAGAAACCCCGTAACCTTGTATCAACACATTTCGGTTCCCGTGTCTTATATGGTGGTCGTACATATTTTTCTTTTTTTTTCTGCCATTTATACCCTAATTCGCTGCGGATGAAGGGGCGTATCAGGCAGTGTGGGTGTGCCGCTCGTTCTGTTCTGATGAAGCGGGTGTGCGACAATAATTGGTAGAAAACGAGTGGTGCGTGCGATGTGATACAGTCTTGTCACTTGCTCGCTTCAGTTACGGGTGAGGAACGGCTTTGGCACTGCGCCAAATTCATCACGGCCGACACGCCCCTTCGTTCGCAGCGAACTAGAAATATAACTCACGAAAGTGAAAAAAAACAGGTGAAATTGCTGATTAGCGATGTAAGAAGCAACGAAATAATGCAGAGCAATCCTATTTATGGATTTTCTCAATTAAAACTCTGGAAAAAAGAGATTTTATATCCATACTTTCGTAGGAATATTTATTTCAGCAGACGGCAATGCAGGTAGCTAAAAGGTGGCACGTTGTAGCAGCACGATTGGAACTAATAACGAAGTTGATAGTTGCGCGTTGATGAACGCTCAGTAGTTCTTCCACTTCTTCACAGTCTTGCCTCTGAGAATTCTTCAAGCAATTTTGTCCAGTTCCATTAAACTGGTCTTTTTCTTCGAAGCTGATTCGTATAAACCACTTCGACTTTTGTGTATGCTTCGCACGGAACCTAGTGCTGAGCAATCATGCATATCGTTTCTTTTTTAGCGTCGCACTGTCCGCACCATTTTTGTTCATGAGAGGTTCGTCCGTATGTACGATTGTTCTCTGTTCATCATAACTAATGATTTTCAGCTATGGAGTACAACTTCATTGGCGACGACTTTGGACCACTATTCCATTACCAGTTCAGAGTGATTCTCATTGGCGATTCGGCAGTTGGAAAGTCTAGTCTTCTGCGGTATTTTACTGAGGGGAAAGTTGCCGAAATCAGTGACCCAACTGTCGGTGTTGACTTCTACGCCTGTATGATCGAATTGCGACCAAACTTCCGAGTAAAACTACAGTTATGGGACACTGCTGGGCAGGAGAAGTTTCGGTAGGTTTGTTATTAACCTACGTTCTGCTTTTTTTTCTATTTTGCTTTTATCTACATGCGCACTAGGCGTCATCCTATGTTGACGGAGTGTTTTATCATATTTCTTGAGATTTAACGTTCCTTTTTGCGGAACAACGCGAAAAACCGATTATATCCGCCGTTGTTATTGAGGGCTTGTGGTAGCCTTGGTAATGTTCCCGAGGCAATGGATGTCATCTCTGCAAAATGTAGGTTGGCCCGGCTTAAAGGGAGGCATCGACTGAATTTTGGTTTGGGCTCGTGTCGTAAATTTCTCGTCCACATGGACAGTTGGTTCGAAGAACAACCAGGAATCGGAAGAAATGATGTGTAGGCTTTCTCGCCAACTGCATTTGCACGTTTCTGTAGTTGAAAGTTCAAAACGAGTCCCTCAGCGTCTACGTTCCATCCTAGTGGGTTCTGCTCATTGAACACATGGACAAAATTTTAACCCATAAGGCCCCCTCCTAAGGTCAAGTATGTCTTACCTGATGTGAGTTCCATACCCATTGAGTACTCTGTTTCAATGGAGATTGATATTGCAACTCGTCAAATAACACAAGTTGGACACTAGAATTCAGGTTGGAAGGTGTAATGGAATGTAAGCTCAGAGACAGTCCCCGCTCTCAACCTTGAGCGTCTCTCCTTGTGCAAGTAGTCTGGTCCTCAGTCTCCAGGATTATCCCTCTTTCGCACCTTCACTGGAAGTGTCGAGGTCGATGTAGTCCTCATAAGTGGCAGTTCTGGCGCCTCCGTAGTTGTCCCGCCCACCGGTAATCCAAGGTTATTTTCTGTTACGAGTTCAGCTTACAAACCCTGTTTTTCTTTTTTTCACTGTTATATGGTATTACCACTGAATGACGGTAAGAGACGATTAGTGCCAGTGGTGGCAGGCATGAAACGAGCGGGTCCGGAGACTCGTACACTGAGGCTTCCATGTGGTCCTGATGGTGTTCTCCTCGCTTTTTTTGCTTTTTTCCTGGAAAGTTACTTGGGTTTGTAGAACGCAACACTTTACCAATATGCGATCGCGGTCTTTGTCTCTAAGAATTCTCGAGCAATGAAGTGGCTCCTCGAATATTACGATAGTATTAAAGGGATAACACAAAAAAGGTGGTGGGGAAAACCCAGGCAAGGTTAAGCTTCATTGTGATTCGCCCAATTCGAACCATGCTGCAAATCTGTGCTAGCCTCAATTACACGTGCTTTCATTTTTATTCTTATATATACCTTTTCACAGGAAATGGAATGCAGTTACTATTTAAGAACTTGGGGCCCCTGTGATAGCGATGCAGATAGATGTCGTTCTGAGATGCTATTTGGGTTGTCTATTGTATGCCTTGTTCAGATCCATCACGAGGTCGTATTATCGAAATTCTGCTGGTGTTATGTTGGTTTATGATATTTCAAATCGAGCCAGTTTCGAGAATATCAATGGTTGGCTTCACGAGGCTGAAGCCAATATGGGTGGTCCTAACCCAGGAAAATGTGTTTTCCTGCTCATCGGGCACAAGTCTGATGATCAGTGTGAGAGACGAGTAAGTTATAGAACCTCATGTTTTCGTAAAGCTTTATTTTCCTGCTTAAATTTATTCCTTGTTATTTTAGGTGGATTACGAAGAGGGGGAATACTTTGCAAAGTATCATAAGATGAAATTCATCGAGACATCTGCTGTGACAGGAAAGAACGTTTATGATGCTTTCCTCATGATGGCCCAAGAGGTAATTTTCATTCGATACAACTCTCTTTGATGACCATTTTTTCTTGTTTGAAACGAAAACTGAGTCGTAAGGCTCTCTTGCAGACAGGGTCACGCGCACGGTGTCATTGCAACTCCGGGACATTTTCGTGGCTTACTTAAAGGCACGGATTCCGCGATCAGGTATCGATTTGAAAACATGGCCGTCAAGAGGTCTAGAGTGGTGCGCGCGAACGAACAAAAAACCTTCTGTACCGGTTTGCGGCGGCAAAGAAAATTGCCAATATGGAGGAGGGGCGCTGTAGCGCAATATAGGTTCAGTGGCTCCTCCTTTTTCCAGTGACTCCGCCTCCAGACTCCGCCTCTAATGACCGGCTTCCAGTGAAAAATGAGATTGCAGAACGAAAAAGCATGATAATCGTCACTTGTACGATAGTAGAAATCTTATCGGTGAATCAGCTGTGCATATAGTTTGGAGATAGAGTTGATTGGGCACGTACAAACTGGGATCGAAATGGGGTTCTATCTAGGGCAGGTGGCATGTTTTTTGTGCTTTTTTTGTTTACAGTCGAGTTACTCAACCCCTTGTCGTCTATATGGAACCCCCTAATCCACCATCTGAGATGGCGAGTAATCGCGGGTTCTGCCTTCAAAAGTTAATCAAGGCAGACTAGAAGCAACTCGAACCGATGGTCATCGAACATTAATGCTATTCAGATCAATAATTGGTTATCGGGAAGTCGCGAAGCGACAATAAATTTGCTTCTTGCAAGGCTTCTAAAAATAAGCCTTGACCCGAAGATTGTGGGGACGGTACAAACAAACATTTATGGCGCTGTATTAGCTTCGTTTTGCCTTCGTCTTCTTGAAATGTGGAAATGGTTTTTTGCATAGCTTGTGTTGTATACAACATAGAACTGGTACCATTATGTAGCTCTGTGGAACTTTACAAAAGTTTCCGGCATCTGTAAATTTTTACGAAATTAAGCCATAGCTAGGTAGCGCAAGTAAGAGAGCCTATGGTTTCTATGAAATACTCACAAGTGTCTGATAAGTAACATTAACGGGTAGCATAGCTTCTAGACTTTTTAGGCCTTGATCTCTTTCAAAAACACGCTTTCCTGTTCGACTTTATTACCGTTGATAATACTGCGCACCGTTTTTTTTTCTGGAGAGGCAAAATTACCATGCAGTGGTCGATTTCAAAATTTTTTCTTTGATGTGCGAAACCCACTCCTTTCCCCGATTTTAGGGCATCTCGAGAGTGGCGATGTACACTTCTTACTACTGCTCCTTATCTCACAGTACCTCCAAACCGCTCAAATCACCTGATCCTTACCTCCAAACCGCTCAAATCACCTGATCCTACAGTTCAGATGCACCGACC